TCATAAATTAACCAAAGTGTTTGGTAGAAAAGAGTGCTCAACCCATAACCTTGAACTCCACCCAAAAAAAAGCAGTAACAACAACAAAGTTGAGGCGTGTAACCCCACAAAACAAAGACCACAACACAATGGAGCGATAATAAAGTGGTCAGAATAATCACAAGTACAATAAAATTGATTGAATTGAATTGAATGCGCAGTAAATCGCAAGAAGTCGCTATAAAACTTATTCCCAAATACAAAAAAAATTCAATAACTTCTGGTGCAACAGTGGGTGGCATGGTGACAAATCAATACAAAAAAATTTAATAATAAAAAAATATTTTCTAAAAGTTAAAAAATATAATTAAACACATTAAATGTTTCTTTAGTTCTGGTTAGAAGACGTGAGGTGCTCATTTTATGCTCTCAATGTCACTTGAATGTCAAATGTAAACAATAACAAAAACAGTGAGTGCCATAAAAAATTTTTAAAAATATAAACATTTAAAAATTAAAAAAAAAATTCTTTATTTCGGCAAATAAGATTTGACGTGCTCATTTTGAACTTTCAATGTCACTTGAATGTTAAATGAGCTAGTTAAAATCTATACTTAAATGACTTAAGCAGAAAATATTATTTTGCAACCCCTGAGTCATAGCAACTTATGCAGAATTTTTTATTATTTTTTCCAATAATCACTGTAAATTCATAAACGGGAAAAATATATTATATACACCAATTTATGTATGTAAATCGTCTGTATCGACGCGTAGGCATTGATTTTTATTTACTATTAATTTCGTATATTTTTCCACTACAAAAACGTTTTCAAGCTCAAAGCTGCGTTCAAAATCCAACACGCTTAAGACACGGCGCCCTGATTTGCTTAGTAATGGCGCGCCCACACACGCACCTCGACGGAGCCAACCACTCAACTACTCTTTGTCTGCTTAATTCTTATTCATTTCCGATATTCTTAATTCTTTTGCTGTTATTTCGCATTGCTATTTAAACCCATAAGTACACTTTTCACACTCTTTACACTCTTAAACCCGATCTTTGGCTTTTATCAGGCACTGTTTTTTTTTGTTTTTTTGCTAGAAAGCGTCCGGTTACATTTCATCGTCGGCGATGCTGCGTTGGCGTAATCTCGCAACACTGCTGAGCTGTTGGACACTATTTGATCATCGATATCAGTGTGGCTGTTGACATGAGTAATTATACACTTACAGGGTTATCCATTTTGTTAAATTAAAAATATAATTAAAAAATAAATAAAAAGTAGTTTAAGATTCTCTATACCCTTCACAAATACAAAGAATTAAATACAAAAACTTGATTTTAATCGGTCAGTTTGTAAAACAGATACGAGTGTGTGCCATAGTGGTCCGATCTAAATCTAGTTGTTCGAGGATCGTAGCCTTGGATAATAAGTCATACCAAGCTTCGTGAAGATATTTCGACAAGTAAATTGTTTCATACAAGGACATGATTCTGATCAGTCCATTTTTAAGGCAGCTATATGCTATAGTAATCCGACGTCGGTGGTTCCGACAATAGAGCCGTTCTTGGGGAGTGGGACGTGTGCAAATATACAGACATACGGACATGGTTAAATCGACTCAATTCGTTATGGTAATTGTTTATATATCTACTTTATAGGATATCCGACGTGGGAGGTACAAACTTTGTGGCAAACTTTATATACTGTTCAGGGTATATTTGTGACTACTTGGGACAGTCTAGAAAAATAATCCAAACTGAAAAATCTCATCAACCACTTCACCCTACTTTGACAAGGAATTAAGTATCTGAGAACTCTCTCTTGAGGGAAATGAGCGGTTGTCGATTTGAGTCGAGACCTGATTGGTACTTGAGTCAAAGTAAAATTCATGTTTCAACGGAATAAAATCCAATAAGGCTGTTAAGCTCAGACATAGTTGAGCCACTAACTGAATAACTCTAGCTAACTTCTTTTTGTATGTCAAAAGCAATACTTCAAAAATCGCACTAAATTAGCACCTTCACGCTATTTTACGTCTTAACCAGTTATAAACCATACTCGATGGTAATTTCCAATATACAGGTCGGTTGAAAAGTTTTTGCACTCGAAATGAAAAAATTACTATTGTTGATACGAAATATATTTTTTTATTCAATATAATCTCCCTTAACGACCAAGTTTTTGTGTGTGCGGCATTAACTTTCCAAACAGCTTTTTCATATGTAATTCTCCATGTAATATATGAAGTACTCGTTCGTCTAAGCTGCCTATGGCATTAGCAATTTCACGCTTAATACTCTGACACGTCTACTTCAAATGGCTTGTAAACCAGAATTAATTGACAGAATGTCTTGTAACTTTGCATATGTTCTCACGACAGATGTCCCAACTTGAGAAAAAAGCTAGTAGTGCTATTCTTTGTGAGACCAATCAACTTTTCAACCAACCTGTATAACATGTCATCCTTTTATGAATTTAGTAGAATAAACTTCAATTAACTCGGTACTCCGCCTATACCCTTCATATGAGCTGCTGAGATTTTTCAAATGTCGTCATAGTTATTTGAAAATATCGGCAGATGTTGTTGTTCTTTAGCGACGCCATTGCCCAAATCATTTCCTCATGAACAGTTCATAAAAACATCGATTGGGGTTCAACTTCTCCCTGTTGTTTCTCACATTATTTAAGTAAAGTCATCAAAACTTCTCTTTCATTTTTACCGAAATTTACCTGATGGATGCAAGATTTCAAAAAGAGGCAGTACTAAGCTAAACTCAACTATTTCGTTATTCCAGGATATGCCACAATTTTTGAGATGCTTTTGTTTGATGATTTGGTAAAATATGGTACTCGATTTCTAGATAAACCATAAGTCCTATGGGTAAAAGTTAAATGATGAAGATAATATATAATAAATATCTACAACTTTTGTGTTAACACTTTTTACACAAAATCTCAGAATTTTTGTGAATACTTATATAACCAAGTTTTGGTTTAGAATTTTTGTATTGAAAATGAACTAATTCGAAAAATATAAAGCCTGTATAATTATGATTTTACTATTTGCTTATAAGTTTTACATCGGCTTTAACAACTTACTTCGATTTAGATTATATAGCTTTTAAGAAGTATATAAATCCTTAATTTCTTTTAGCACTTTTTTACCCCATCCTATCCATATTGGCTGTCAGATAATTTGCACTTGCATACATACTCGTAGTTCATTTCACTGCAGAGATATTAAAGATTGCTCATACGCCAACGTGCACTCACTTAAAATCCGAAGATTTTCGTGCGTCAAATAAATTTACCATACTATATAGGTAATACATAAATACATTTAAACGTAAAATAAATCAATCAAACCGTGAAGCGAAAGCAATTCGAGATAATTAATGAGTCACAATTTGAGTGTGCATGTAGTCACGTGCCCAAGCCTAACACATTCGTTTTATAGGGTTGCCTTGACATAAGAAATAAATCAATAACAAAAAATGTTTGAATAATTTGGGTTTTCAATTATTTTCACTTGTTGGGTTATTTATGTATGTAGGCTCCATGCTTCAAAGGTCAATATTTATGTGAGCTAATAAACTCATAAACTGTTTTAGAGCTTTGTGCCTGAAACAAAAGTTCTTCATCTCTATATTATTATGAAAAAAACCTCAGCCAAAAGTCATCGTATTTTGGTGGAAGTTTATGGTGAACATGCTCTAGCTGAACGAACGTGTCAAAAGTGGTTTGCACGATTTGAAAGTGGTGACTTTAGCTTCGAAGATGAAGAACGTCCTGTGTGGCCAAAAAAATTTGACGATGAGGAACTGGAAGCATTACTCGAAGAAGATTCTTGCCAAATACAAGAAGAGCTCAAAGAATCTTTGGGAGTCATTAGCAAAGAAATTGAATGCTATACGAATTGAAACCAATAGACGTTGAAAGCAGATTTTGCATGTCAGGAATACTGCTTAAATCGTACAAAGAGAAGTTGCTTTTGTATTGGATTGTGGCTGGTGATCTGGCGGGCGTCTGGAGGGCGTGCTGTATAATGAGCTTCTAAAACCGGTTGAAATCATTAAAGGCAAACTCTTCCGACAACAACTCATCACAATAAAGCGACCGTTTGCCGAAAAACGCCCGGAATTTGTGACTAGACGCGAGTTTTGCTGCCTTTCCTTGACTATCCGATCTTCATCCTTCTGACTCCTATTTGTTTCGATCGACCACTGAAATACGGTTCACATTAGAACAGGGTCCAGTTCTTTTAGCATGGAATCCACAAATTGTCGAAAAGATGGAAAAATGTTATAGCATCAGATGGGCAATACAGACGGAAAAATACTATTGTACACAGTTTTCTTAATACTTTTACTTAAGTAAAAAAAAACAAAACGTACTTCAAAGTATAGGTGTTATAGTTCCACCGAAAGTTAGCGAATCGCGACTACTTGTATATCGCAGTGGTATTTGCTACCTTAAAGTTCCTATCTTCAGCGACAATGTCAAGAGTATTCTGGTTCAATGACTAATGAAGTGAGCAGCTTAATGATATGTCATACATAAATATTTACCTAAAAAAAATTTTGTAATTTATAATTTTTGGTTTTATATAAAATTTTTTATAAAAATATATATTTTATTTAACACGTTTTGTACACTTAGGTACCCTGTGTTCTTCTATCTCTTCCCTTACTTCCTTTTTCGTAAAAACCGCGATCCAAAAGCTTTAAAACACCGAGAGCTTTTAAAACTTTGTTATTCACTTTGTTACGTTTCCTTGAAATATTGATATATGAATTCAAATGTAAATATTTTATATTTCACACCATCAAGTCCCGTTGGCTAACTAAGCTTCCATTAAAAAGTTTAATTTGTTAAGCTTTTGGGATATTCTTTAAATTTAAACTCTACAAAATCGCAATATTCCCCAAATTTTATGCGAGCCACTTCTCTTTGCCAATCAAAAAAATGTTACTACAGAAAAGAGCTTTAACTGCCCAACTTACGGAAATGACAGGAAAAAGAAAGCTTTCGCTTATGACAAATCAAAAGGTATATCTGTCAAAAAAACGGAACCCTAACAACAAATAAGATAACCGAAATGAACTCAAAACATAGCGAATGAACGCACTAAAGCAAAAGCGAGAACCGTACAGAGAAGGTATAAAATTTACATTTAAAACGTTTAGTTAATATTACTCAGTTGTGGACTAAACAATAGAAGGGAACTTTCTAAATATTATTAATAATTTCTCGAGCAACTTTTAAAGCGAATTTCTTAATATAATATACAATGAATGGTGGCAGACATTTAGCTAAAGGTCAGTATAAGCAGAGAACGTCTAAAATAGTTTGAAAAATTAACGAAAATTAACAATAAATAAATAAAACAAAAATATATTAAAAACAAAATCAATACACGTTTATTGGTAAGAAATTTTAAACATTTAAAAAGTTTAAAATAGCTTTTTTTTTTTTAATTTCCACGAAAAAAGACAGATGAAGGCTTTTTTTCTAACGACCTAAAGAATATCTGAGTAAATTTTGAGGCAAACCTAATCGAAAGTACAAATGAAATTCTTTCCATAGTTGCAATTGAGTTCCGTTTCAAATGAATATTTACAATATGTTCGGAAATTTGAATTTTGAATTTTATTACCTATTTTTTCTATATAATATGCAAATACCATGTATACGACTACAAATGTGCATAATATAATAGAGCTATTTTAGAAAAGCGTGATTAAGTATAAAAATTAGCTTATCAAAAATATTTTTGTGCATCACGTAAAGGAAACATACACGAATTTGAGAAAGTGATAAGGAAGGAAATGCTCCTGTGAACAAAATGAGCGGCACAAAAATAGAATTTGCCGATAATGAGCGACAAAAGAGTCCGTGTGTCAAACCAGTCTAATTCAACGTTTTCTGGTATAAGTATTATATGTGTGAGTGAGTTATGCAGTGCGAATTTTTAACACAAATTTGATTTGAAAATACGAAATTGACAAGTACCATAAACGAATAGTACGTGTTCAAATCATATTTAATCGAATTCTAAGATATCAATAGTGAATAAGCAAATGCATGCACTTAAGCTGATTAATATCAATATCAATTTTAAACATTTATTAGTGACTGTAAATTTTTGTATGTATTTAGGGTGTTTGATTAACATTTTTTTCCATTTGTAAATATATGTACATAAGGTTCTCCATTATTTTCTAAGTTGATTTTTGTTTCATACAAGCGCCTTATAAATGCTGTGTTGCTAATACTGCATGGTTCTCTATGCATGGTCAATACACGTCATGTATAACTTTAACTGTGTATAACTTTCAAAGAAATTTTGTTTAGTATAATACATATATTTTTTTCATAGTTGTAGTTTACTAGCTTAACGCAAAATATAATAAAAGTATTATACATGGGAAAAGAAATACGTTTTAGGCACGATTTTAAGTGATAATAAAAGGCTTGTTTACGTTGGATACTTTTTTAGGGCATGGACTGAAACTTCACGGGCTTTTGCATAGAAAATTTACTTGGGAATTAGCAGACATCCCAATGTACATAGATAGAAGCATAATACCATATAGTTGTAGTTAAATATAGTAAAAAAAGGCACATAAATCTGAAATTACTCATTATAGAAATTGTGAATATTATTTATAAATTTTGCCATTGCTACATAGGCTCACCAAAACCCGCATTACCCGACGATGGTGTTTTTCGCTTGTATTCCATGCGCTTTTGCCCGTATGCTCATCGTGCTCATTTAGTGCTAAACGCCAAACATATTCCACATCACACTATTTATATTAATCTTAAGGAAAAACCAGAATGGCTTACCGAAGTCAGTCCACTGGGTAAAGTGCCGGCACTACAGCTACCCAAAGAGGAAGGTAATCCAGCTTTAATTGAGTCACTGATAATTGCTGAATATCTTGATGAGAAGTATCCCGAAGTACCACTTTTCCCCAAAGATCCACTAAAGAAAGCACAGGACAAAATACTTATTGAGCGGTTCAACGCGGTGATTAGTGTCATGAACAAAGTGTTTCTAGGTGGTATTGAAGCAGCGCCCGATGCGCTAACAGAGATCTCTAAAGGTTTAGATATTTTCGAGAAGGAGTTGAGCTCACGGGGTACACCTTACTTTGGTGGTGACAAACCCGGCATGTTAGACTATATGATTTGGCCATGGTATGAGCGTTCGGCAATGTTGAAATACTTGTTGCCGGAGGAATATGAATTGGATAAGGAACGCTTCAGCAAACTGGTAAGCTAAATTTATATTTTCAAAGCATTGAATTTGTATTAAAAGTATTTTAACTCATTATAGATTGCATGGCGCGATTTGATGATCAACGATCCAGCAGTGAAATGTCATTATGTGGATGGCGAAACTCATGCCAAGTATATGAAAGCGCGCCGTGAAAATGCTCACGATTATGATATGCTCCTGTAGGACTATTCATTAAATGCATATATGTATGTACTTGTATATGGATATATAATTGCGTTACCATATATAATTGAAAGACAAAAGCAGAGATTCAAAATTAATAAATTTATTTCTTGTAACCTACTAAGTTTATATATACAGGGTTGCAAATAATTCATAAAAAAATGTTGAACAAATTAGAATTGTTTTTAATTTTTAACCCCGAAAATCCTGATTAAAAATAATTTTTAAATTTATGATCCCAAATCCCGGATTGAAAAAAAGCTTTAATCTCAGATATAGGCTTAAAAAATATAAAACAAGTCAATCCCTTATTTTAATTGAATTTTGAATTTTTAATTCCAATATTGGAATTTGGGCCATTCGTTTGATTATCAATAAATTAGATAATGCAATGAACAACACCATATCGAGAAGCTTATATCAAGTTCTCTACTTTTTTTCTACTTGGCATTAACTATTCCAACTATTTATCAGATATAGTATGCTCATCCAGATAACATAACATAGTGCCTCTCTCTGAATTCTGTCAGTTACAGCTAGTCTCTCAGAGATTAGTTTGAGATCTGTAGTATTCAAGATCTTGATTGATTGATTGAATCTACATCCAACGTAGTGCTCTTCCACTCTTATACCATATTACCATCAAGGGTTTTAATTTTTTCCGAATATCAAGGCAAACACCACTTTCTTTTTATTTGAATAGATTTTAAAACGTGATTATTCCCTTCAAGCGAAATAAATTTGCTTGTGTGATAATTTAAGAGTCCCAATGAACATGTGGCCAATTTTAATTTATTCATTTTGTAGGGTTGACTATGAAACAAGAAAATAGTTAATAACGAAAAATGTTAAAACAAATTATATTATATTTGGAACTATTTTATCTTTTGTTTTCTAATAATAGTTTTATGGGACTTTTTCAAACTGGTATATGAAATAGCTCGTCGAAATTGTTATTATTATTTTTATATACGGTTTCAGAAATATCACATGAAGTGAGGAAGCTATAGTTGAAACCACTTGCAGTTAGAGCATCATAAACCCCTTCCCTTCAATGTATTCGTTACAGTAGTGAATCGAACAAACTTTACCAAATGTTTATGCAACCACCAAGTCTCCTGCTGTATGAGCGATTGGGTTGCGCTTATTCCATGATGGAGAAATGTTTTCTTCTTTAGTAACTCTTTGTGTTTGTATTCTATAAACAATTATAATTGATTAATTTCGATTTTGAAAATAATTTGTCATTTGGGCCATTTACAATGAAAAAACTGGTCTAAAAAGTGTGAAACAAAATTTGGTAGCATTGAGATAGCATACTTTCTTGTACGAATACAACTAGACAATTCTGTTGTTGCGCGTCAGCATAGCGAGCAGAGAAATGGCGAGTCGAAGACAACTCCTAGCACTATTTTTTACATTTCTACATCAACAACCGCATCGCAAACTTTCATTGTTGGAGCACTTATTTTGAGATAAAATATACATTTTACCTAGAAAAGCCAGACGTACCTTAGTTTGCTTGTCTTCAGCAACGATGTCCGCTGTATGCAGGTTCAATTTCACAATTTCTTTGACTTCCTCACTCGTAAAAACCGCTATCGAAAAGCTTTTGCTTTGGTAATCACTTTATTAACTTCCTTGAAATAAGAATTTAAAAGCAAATATTTTATATTTTTACAACATCAAACCATGTTTGCTTTGTTAAGCTACTAGTTCATACTTTAAATTTCAAATTTCTAAAAAATCACAATACTCGTACTCTCCTGATTTTTATGCCGAGCCATTTCTTTCCGCCAACTAAATGCCACTACAGAAAAGAGCTTTAAGCGTCAAACTAACGGAAATAACTAGAATAATGAAGCTTTTGCTAATGACGAATTAAAACATATGTTTGTGGCAAAACACAACCATAATAACAAAAGGAAATTGAAATGAACTGAAAACATAACGAATGACTGCACATAAGTATCTGCAAGAACCGGTCATTATTTATATAAACTTGTTGTTGAGTTAATATTACTCAGTTGCAGATTTAACAATAGAAGGGGACTTACTAAAAATTAATCATCATTTCTCGAACAACTTTAAAAGCGATTAACTTATTAAAATATACAATGAGTGGCGGCAGACATTTAGCTAAAGGTTAGTATGAACAAAGAACGTCTAAAATATTCAATAATTATACGTCGTCTGGTATAAAGATATGCGAGTGAGGAATGCAGTGCAAGTTTTTATCGGATCCAAGGAAATAGTAAGTTGTGTGCATATACATACAAATATAATATACTTCCGGAAAAGTGATCAGTTGCTGCAATGTATCCTTTTATTCAAGGTTACAATATTTTAAGGTCACTAGTGATCTCTCTAGATTTAAAAATACGAAATTTAATCGAAATACAAACACAAAAAGAAAGCGTGTTCAAATTTTGCTTGGATAGAATTCGAAGATATCAGAAATGAATAAGCATAAGAAATAAATAAGTGGCTGGTACTTCTAATTTTTGTATGTATTTAAAGTGTTTTAATTACTTGTTTAATACTTTTTACCATTTGTACGTGCATAACAACATATTGTTTTAGGTAAATATTCTCAAATATAAATATTGTCATAATTTTTGAACTACTCAGAGAAATTATGAATATTATTAATAACTTTAAATATTATCACTTAGGCTCACCAAAACCCGCATTTACCGACGATGGCGTTCTTCGCTTGTTTTCCATGCGATTTTGCCCGTATGCTCATCGTGCTCACTTAGTGCTAAACGCCAAAAGCGTACCATATCACGCTATATTTATTAATCTTACCGAAAAACCAGAATGGCTCACAGAATTCAGTCCATTGGGAAAAGTGCCGGCACTACAGTTACCTAAAGAGGAAGGAAATCCAGCTTTAATTGAGTCACTAATAGTGGCCGAATACCTTGATGAGAAGTATCCCGAAGTACCACTTTTCCCCAAAGACCCACTAAAGAAAGCACAGGACAAGATACTTATTGAGCGATTCAGCTCGGTAGTTGGTGCTTTGTACAAAGTGTTTCTAGGTGGTACTGAAGCAGCACCGAATGCGCTAACAGAGATCTCTAAAGGTTTAGATATTTTCGAAAAGGAGTTGAGCTCACGTGGTACACCTTACTTTGGTGGCGACAAACCCGGCATGTTAGACTATATGATTTGGCCATGGTTTGAGCGTTCGGCAATGTTGAAATACTTGTTGCCGGAGAAATATGAATTGGATAAGGAGCGCTTCAGCAAACTGGTAAATCAAATAATAATTTGTATGCTAAAATTTGTTTTAAATATATTTCAACTCATGATAGATTGAATGGCGCGATTTGATGATCAACGATCCTGCAGTGAAAGATCACTATTTGGATGGCGAAACTCATGCCAAGTTTATGAAAGCGCGCCGTGAAAATGTTCACGATTATGATATGCTAGTGTAAGGCCCTTGAAATGAATTTATTGTATATATGCATATTTGTATATATATTCTTATGCATATACATATATATGAATGTGCCGAATTTGAATGAAAAATATTTTAAATTATTATAAAATATAAAAGTATTAAAAACTCTATATAAAAGTTTCATGCTTCAAATATTTTTACTGATATCGCATTTGTTAAAATGTACATACATATCTATGGGTGCATCTAATTACTATATGTTTCTGTTTGTATCAGAAGTTTCGCAATATATAACAAAGATAAGCATTATCAGTACCAATTTGATTTAATGTGTAGTTGTATGTATTGTGCGTCTAAAACCGAATTGTGGCTATACTTATTTTTTCACACCTAATCATCTATAATACTAATTATTTTCTTATGTATGTATATACATATGTAGCTTCACTTAGTTAAAATGAAAATATGACGTTGATGTGGGAATGTTTGTGTGCGTTAATAAGCGTTTGCATGTTGATATAATATACACAAAAAAGTAACAATCTTTTTTCTTCTTTGTTGTAGTTGTTCATATTTTATGTACATATATAAATATGAGGTTTTATTTATCGATTTTTACTTACATAGATTGACTAATGGAAGCAAATTATAAATGTAAGTATGTACATACACACAAGGTGACGTGCTTTCAGAAATGGAATTAATTAACGGATAACGCCTACGTGTAAATAATATTAATTGGTTAGATTTAATTTTTTACCTATTCCGCTTAAAACTATTAAAAATAGTTCATGAATTCATCCTTAATAATATAAATTAAATTCTTAACAAAGTATATAATCTGTTCGAAAAATTAAAAAAAAAATTATTTTAAAGTGGCATTGACTCAAATTGTATGTCTCTCTAGAGTTTGTCAAGAAAAAAGTATCCAAATCAAAAATGATAGAATACAAGATTACGGCAATAATTTTAATCACTAATATTTCTATCATTCTTGAGAACAAATGATTCAAATCGAATCGAGTTGTATTGGCATAAAAGCTTTCCATAATTGCCAGGCACAGAAATAAAACAGATTGTTAACGTGCAACCCTAATATAAATAGATAAGAAAGCACAAATAAATTTAAAATAAAGCGAATGAACGCCCATAAGAAATTGTCAAACCGGTCGTTATTTATGTATATATGTATATATATATATATATATATATATATGTTGGTGGGTTAATTTTGCCCAGTTGGTGACTTAACAATCGGCGAATAAATTGCATATAAACTATTTATAATAAATTTTAAAACATTTACAATAACAAAATACACAATGAGTGGCGGCAAGCATTTAGCTAAAGGTTAGTATCTATTTGAGTGAATAATATTACAATTGCAGTGCTATTGTGAAATAAAATTGCAAGTTTTATAAAATGTAAATAACTCGCAGCTAAAGGAGATATTTTGTTCCAACGTGTCCATTAATGGCTATTAAGTTAGTTAGTAGTATGTTGCTAGAAAGTTCTTAATTAAAAGCATTATTATAAAATTCGCATTTTTATAAGACTCCCGTCGTTCAAGTGGAGTTATTTTAAAGGGATTTCCAAATTTTGCCTAGTGATGTTTGATACAAATGAAAAAGAAATTGGAGATACGTAGACTTAAGCACGTAAATATGATCAGCGCTGTTATCAATTTCCACTTAGTATATTATTAGACGCTATTATACCGAATGTATTGTAGATACAGGTATGGAATATATATTTAATATACTTGTTGTATGCTACAAGACATACACCTCATAAATGTTTGTATTCATACGTATGTATATATGTACATATGTACGTATAAAAGACAAAAAAATTTGTAGTCAACTTCTGGAACATCAATAAAAAGTGTATTTATTATTAATAGGTTCACAAAAACCAGAATTACCTGACGATGGAGTTTTTCGCTTGTATTCCATGCGCTTTTGTCCATATGCTCATCGTGCTCACTTAGTACTTGACGCCAAAAATATTCCACATCACACTATTTATATTAATCTTACGGAAAAACCAGAATGGCTTACCGAAGTCAGTCCACTGGGTAAAGTGCCGGCACTACAGCTACCCAAAGAGGAAGGAAATCCAGCTTTAATTGAGTCACTGATCATTGCTGAATATCTTGATGAGAAGTATCCCGAAGTACCACTTTTTCCCAAAGATCCACTAAAGAAAGCACAAGATAAGATACTTATCGAGAGATTCAACTCGGTGATTAGTGCCATGTACAAAGTGTTTCTAGGTGGCAGTGACGCAGCACCCGGTGCGCTAACTGAGATCTCTAAAGGTTTAGATATTTTCGAAAAGGAGTTGAGCTCACGTGGTACACCTTACTTTGGTGGCGATAAACCCGGCATGTTGGACTATATGATTTGGCCATGGTGCGAGCGTTCAGCCATGTTGAAATACTTGCTACCCGACAAATATGAAATGGATAAGGAACGTTTTGGCAAGCTGGTAAGTACAATTTGTAAAGTGATCAGAGTTTTTTTGCATTTAAGTGTGTTCAACATATATTTTAACCCTTTATAGATTGCATGGCGTGATTTGATGATCAATGATCCAGCCGTAAAGGGATTCTATTTGGATGGTGAAACTCATGCCAAATTTATGAAAGCGCGTCGTGAAAATGTTCACAATTATGATATGCTCGTGTAAGACATTTTCAATGTATGCAACCAATTTTCGTCGAAGCAAAGTGCGAAATACACACTAATTAATATGTATCATTGATGTAACTAACATCTTTGCAAACACATCATTCCAACAATCAGATTTATAATTCATAACATAATCTTTTTGTATACATACTAAAAATCTATGTTTAAGTTTCGAATGTGACTAAAAGCGTCTACTTACAAACACTGATTCTTTTGTATTCAATCTCATTTTCAGGAACGATGCTAAACGGCAAAAAACTTGTTGAGGATAAAAATCGCATTTTAATTGTTTTTGGTAATATTCGAAAGAAAAACTTGTTTCGATTTGATTGTATGCCGATTATCAATTTAAAAGTAACATCAAATATCACGCTACTTACATATCCGTGTAAATTTCTTACAGTCATTCTTATACATCGCATATATTTTTGTACATATCAGCATATCCATTTGATGAATTCAAATACAGCGCATTTGTTTTGTAATAAATTTTTACATATTTTTCTCAGTGATATCTGAAGTGGTTTGTTGTTGTCCTTCATTTTCGTAAGTTCATCAAAAATATGTTTGTCTACGTTCAATTTGTTTATCTGTTGCGTGTCTAAAAGCACCCTTCATGACCATATCCATAATGAACATCTATATATGCATCGTTGTTAGTGCTTGTAATTCCCTTCACAGATGCATTTCTTATAGCAAAAAAAAAAGTATAAAAAAATTTTATTTTGATTTTATTCGTTGTGTTTGTATGGCAGTTGAATAAATTGCTCGGAGATTGCACTGTCGCCTTGGATAATAATCTATGGCAAATTGTGTGACGATATCTCGTCTAATAAAAAAGTTTTCATACAAGGATTGTATTTTGTTCGATCCGTTTGTATGGTAGCTATATGCTATAGTCGTCTGATCTGAAGAATTTCTTTTGATATTGTACCGTTGCCCTAGATATTAATCCGTAGCAAATTGCGCGAAAATATCTTGTCGAATAAAAAAGTGTTCCATACAAGAACATGTATTTCAGTGTTCATTTTGTATGGCAGCTATATGATATAGTGCTCCAATATCGGTGGTTCCAACAAAGGAGCAGCTTGTTAAAGAGAAGAGGGCGTATGCAAAAGATCAGATCGATATCTCAAAAATATGAGGGAGTAGTTCACGTACATACAGACAGACCGACGGATATGGCTAAATCGGCTCAGCTGGTCACGCTGACCATATATATATATATATATACATTATAGGTCCTGACGGTGCCTTCTGGGTGTTACAAACTTCGTTAAGTTTGCCATAATATGTTATACCCTATTCAGCGTATAAAACTAAAATAATTTTCGTGCTTTGTAAGCCAAAGATTGGATTTGACGTTAGAGAAAAATACTTTATTTAAAACTGCATTGCTGCATAAACTGCTTAAATAGCTAAATACAATATAATATATATATTCACTTTTCCTTTTTTTAATCGTTAAATATGTAAAATCACGATAAATGTAAATATCTTTGTGGTTTTGGAATGAGTTTTCAATTACTTTTATAATTTTCTTCTTTTTTTTCAACTACACACATAGAGAGCGAGAAAATTGAAAAAACATACATTTTGCAGACAAGTTAAGTTGTTTGTACAACTGCACATACTCGTTTGTATGCTTGTACTTATGTAAACAGTTATGTATGTGCATGCTTGTGTTTTAATAAGTATAGAATAAATTTAAACATCGAATCAATTTATTATTATTTTTTTTTTTCAGTTTATATGTAACAAATTGTTGCATAGTCTCGAATAAAATATTCAATGGTGTTAATCTTATTTTAAAGTTTTTTTAAAACTTTTTCGTTTACAATATATTATATCTGCATGCATGTGTATACACTTATGAGCCCTTTGTAAGTTGGTATAATTCACAAAAAAATATTTTTTTTCCATATTACATTATAATGTTTGTTGTTGTTTCTTCGTAGTTCATTTATTACTGTTATCTCAAAGTGGTTTCGTTCATAATTATTTAAAAATGTCTGTTTTTTTGTTTTTATTTTTTCTTAATTATGCGTTTTCACAATATATTCAACTTCGGAAGTCCTTAACTGTTAATCTCGTAATGCGTACATACATGAATGTTGCTTCGTTGCTGCAAAGTGATCCAAAATATGTGTGTGTGTACGTGGTTGTTTTTTTTTTTTATTTATATATTTTAAAACATTTTAACTGTACTCCTGATGCCATTTATATTTTTGTAAAAATTTTGATTAAAATAGTTTGGTTGGTATGATTTCATCATTAGTTTAGATTTGGAACGACTTAGGTAACGATTCTCACTCCATTTGTGATCTCTGGCAAAACGTTGGGCTTCTCAAGCGTTTTCTGCATTTTTCCATGCCATGCAATCGCTGGCAGAACAGCGTGTTTCTCAAGCGTTTTGTGCATCCTTACGATATCTGCGACTATATCAAGCTTGCGATGAGGCGCCTATTTGTTCTGCGGAAGAGAAAATGTATATATATATATAAGGTTATGTGTATATATGTCAAGATTCGAATTTCTTCATTATACCGTTCGGTAAACTGCTGGCCACACTGCTAATCACGCTAACATCGGCGCCACCCGAGGTTGTGGATGCGACACTAGTACTCACACTCACACTGACACCGTTCAGTGCACTGTTGTGATTGCGTTTGTGCGTCAAAACGGTGCTATGCGTGGAAAACTTTTTGCTACAAACTTCTGCACGCTCCGAAAAGCTGGACGTGGATGGCGCCGTTGAGGTTACTGCTAACGGTTGCGTTTCATTGGCGGGCTGGTCATACGTTGAGCGATGGGTGTAACGTTTGAGGTGCAATTGCTGCATATTTTGGTGGTTGTTGTTGCCCGAACTGTGATAAAATGAAAATACTTTCATTATTTACATTAACAAATTGAATTTATATGTGAATAAATGTATGTAAATATAAGAGAAAAAAACTTTAACTTCGGCTACAGCGAATCTACAGGGTGGCGCACAAATCTGCTACAAAAACAAACCGTAATAAATTTTTTTCTGCGTGAAAAGTGTGTATGGCAGCTATGTATATGCCATAGTGGTACGATCCAGACAATATATCCGGAGATTGTAGCGTGGCCTTGTACAATCATCTATGTACAATTTTGCAAAGATATCTTGTCAAATAAAAAAGTTTTCCATACAAGGACTTGATTTTGACCGATCAGTTAGTCAGTGATATGCTTTAGTAGTCTAATCTGAACAATTTGTTCGGAGATTGTAGCATTGCTTTGGAAAATAATCCATGGCAAATTTTATGAGGATATCTTGATAAATAAAAATTCTTCTATACAAGAATTTTATTTGGATTGGTCACTTTGGTTGGCAGCTATATGCCCTAGTGATCCAATCTGCAAAATATATTCGGAGATTTTTGCATTGTTTAGGGAAATAGTCCATGCCAAATTTTGTAAAGATATCTTATTAAATACAAATGTTTTCCATACAAAGACTTGATTTTGATCGACGAGTTTGTATGACAGCTAAAACTCTAAAACTGAGGGACTAGTTCGCTTATATACAGACGCACAGATATTATATGATCTTCGAGGTTTTTGGGCGTTACAAACTTCGTGGCAAACTGTAATTAAGTTTCCTCTCGAGGGTGTAAAAATAAAAAATTTACCCCTGTTATATAGTATACATAAATTCTGTTCAGTATATATATATAAAAATAGAATTTTCTGTCACTATTTCGTTACACAGTACTGTAGACATGCTTGCAGTTGATTATACCTTTTCTGCTCATTGTCCTTTTTGCTATTGAACATGGCCAACTCGATTTCTGTGTGTTCGTTGTTTAGATGGCGCACCCAATCTGCCGGGGTCTCAAAGGAGCTGCGTAATAAAAGCGAAAACAAAATTTAATTTCTCTATTTGACTATAATTCGTAAAGTATTTACATACATTGAGCACAAGTCACAGCAGAGCGTCACATGACCCGCGTTGTTCTCTTGCTGCTGTCATGAATATAAAAATACATACATAAATATGTTACAAAAATTAAAACTTTGAGCTAATAAGCACGCTCACCGATACTCGTCGCCGCTTTTTGGGCACATACGCTTTGACTAATGCCTCCCCGCCATTAGTCATGGTGTTGCCTACGGTTGTGCTATTCATGTTATTCGTTGTACCACAAGCCACATTTAACGTTACCGTATCTGCTGTTGTTGTTGCTGCGTTAATGGTGTGCGACTCCAAATGACGCACCCAAGATTTAGGTTCGTCGAAGGATTGTTTGCATGTTTCACACGCCAGACGTGTTTCATAGTCACTATCGTCTTGGGTGTTCGTGTCCTGTTCGCTGTGTGGACTATGTGAATGTGCGCCGACTTCAAGTTTGACAGTTGTACTGCCAGGTGGCATTTTAAAATCTAACGGTTGTTTTGGAGAACGTAGCGGTGTTTTGGCGCGTGACACCAAATCGGCGTGTGCATTGTCTGTTGTGGAAGCGTTTGTAGTCCAGTCGGTTGGCTCTTGTTTTATAGCGAGGAAAGTTTGTGTGTGAGACATGGGCGGTGTGTTCGACAATCTGCTGCCGTTGACCTGCTCTGTATAATGACTTTTCGTGGCTGTTGTGTTGGTATGCTCATAGGCATCTGATACGAAGTAATCGCGCACTGCGAATAACGGTAATAAGAAATTTTTTTTTTAAGTTATTTATTTTGAATTACTTACTGCGTTCGCCGGCGCTGCCACCACTGCTACGTCGCAGATGTCTGTCATAATTGGGCATGTCAATGTCATTATGTTGCTCCTCTTCATCGGGTGGTGGACGCTGTCGCTCTGTATACTCCCGCTCCAATTGCTGCTCCACCACAGTTGCGCGCATATTTTCATCGTTTTGATTGCGTTGTCGGCGCCTCACCTGCTCATTTTCCATGGACATGGGACAGCCGCCCGTGCAACCAATTTCGTTGCACAAAGTCGTTGCCACATGCAGCTGATTCAATTGATAGCAGCATTTTTCATCGGGATCTATAGCAACTTCCTTGTTTACCGATATGCCACCACCTGTTAGGTGCTTACTACTCGACGCTGCAGCCGAGAGTAGCCCAAGTTGTGACAATTTCGGTGACTTGACTATCACTGGACTATCCTTGGGCAACACGGAGGCGCCCAAGCCACGAAACTGGTGTTGGGTTTGTTGTATTTGCTGTGCGTGTGTTTGTTGTGTCGGCACTGACTGCGTCACAGGCTGTTGCAAATGTTCCATGGCATGGTAACGTGGTGCACAATTACCACCACCACCATTTGGACATTTATTGACTATATACATATCACTACCATGTGCATTGGACATATGCGAGTGTGTAAGTGTTGGTATTGACTGTTGGCGATTGCCTGTACTTTGTATATAATGGGGGCCGACACCGTTAGCTATTAGTGATTCGTTGACGCGCGTTGAAGTATTGTGCGAATTAGATGACGTTGGGGAGGTGCGACATAGACCACGGATTTTCAATATCTCACCGCCACGCAAAACTTCACTAAGTATATCATTGGCGACTGTGGCCTCGCCACTGTACATATATTGTACTAGTATTTGTATAGCGCGGTGGCTTAGTTCCGGCGGAAGCACAACGTAGAGCACGCCGTTAGGCGAGGTTATAGGTGCGGTTTCGAACATCGTTGCAAAAAACTAAAGCGAAACAAAAATTATTTAGAAGAGAATGAAATTTATTTCATGTATAGTTAGTTACCTGACTACACGAGCTGAGTATAAATTTGTGCGCTGAAATACCCACTGTTGGTATGCCACTATCCGTGCTATTGCCACTGGCACTACTGCTGCTGGAACTGTAGAGCACAACATCGGCGAACTTCTCATTTCTATGATGAAAATTAAACAATTTTATTAATAAATTCACATGCAGTTGCACTATAAACAGCTTACTTGTAAAGTGTGGCAACTGAAGAATTCAAAAAGGACAAATGCGAGTCCCATTTTAGATGATAATTTTCTGCTGTCATCGTTTCTGTTAAGTACACCGACGCACTGGTGGATATAAACTTTCTTGCTCACTATACTGCTTGGAATCACTGACTTTGTGCAAAAGTAAAATCATTATTGCAACATGGCGATGCATTTAAAATCCTAATGATTGTTGAATGTGTTATCACGTCACACACACCACTGTTTTTTATACAAATTAAAATCAAAGAAATATTATTACTGTTTTACGTGCTTGTGGGCGCTCAACACGTTATTGTATATAAGGAGCGAAAGTAAGTGCAAGCTAACAGGAAGCAAATCGATAAATCAATAAATTGTCTGCAATTTTCGGCAGCTACAATAGCAACAAGCGCGCAATAACGAACAGATAGCTGTATGTGTACATCACAGCACAGGAAAACGCAATTAAATGGGGTTCATAAAAGCGTCCTTTCTATAATTACGCATAAGGATATTTTTATAAATAAATTTTTTCGAAGTGTTGAATTGATATGTATTTTAAGCTATTTAAATATTATATACAAAATAGCAGTTATATTTTTGAACCTCATATTTAATGCAAACATAAGCGGCTAAACCGGAAGCGCTACCAATTAGTATAAGCATACCTCTTTTTTATTTTACTACTGCACTGCCCTTTGATACAATTATTATTATTTTTTTTAATATATATCATTTTTAAATATATATATTGATTTTTAAATAAAAATAGCATTTTTAAACTAAATTTTTTTCGTGTTTATTAATTGTTTTCTAATATTATATCCGCTTATTACACGACGTAGTGTGGCAGCACTGTCGCATTTCCGTCATTGACATTTCATTTTCGTCTGTTTGTTGTTTTCGACTTTGCTCGTATTCATTCACTACTTGCTATTAATATTTTATTTACGTTATAAATACTTCATAAAAACAAATAAATGTGTAAAAATGGAAACAAAATCAGATTTCGATTTCAAACTAGTTGATTTGGTGCGCGCAAATGCACTGCTTTATGTAAATGAAGTGCGGATATCGCCCTACAATCTAATGAAGAAAAGAAATGAAATCTGGCGTAGCATCGCATCTTCTTTGGGTGTTGAAAGTAAGTTTGCTAATATTTTAAAATGCCCTTACTATATACAAATCATTTTCATTTAAAGCTAAATACTGTGTAATACGTTGGAAGAATCTGCGCGATAAGTATCGTCGTGAGTCGCAAAAGGCACAGGAGCTTGGGCGAAAAGCTGGCGGTATAAAAAGCGCACAGGGCTCCACATGGAACTTATTAGACAAAATGAGTTTCCTTGACCACCACATAAGAGTGCACAGGTAATATAATCAATATATATAAATTTAATATAACTATTTATTTAAGTCATGAATTCAAATATTGACAGTTCAACTAGCACAAAAAGCGCTGCAGAGAATATACGTTCGAGTTGGAGTGAAATGGAAGCTGAACAACTTATTGAGCAATTACCAAATGAAGATGATCCATTACAAGAGGCAATGGATGAACAAACTGTTGCTTTAGAAACAAAGAAACCAGAACCTATAGTGAGTACAACAACAACTACAGCATCATGCTTAAAACGCATCGAAACGTTGCTAGAGGGCTTGGATGAGGAAAATCGTACAAAAGCTGAAAAACGTATTGTAGCGTATCTCTGTAAGTGTCAGCTTAAATTTTTGGAAAATGAGAGTATCGACGATATATTAATTTAATGTAGTTATTATACAAGTAAGCAAATTTCAAGCTGAAATCCTTTTTTCTACGCGTATTCATAACTTTCTATTTATTAATTTTCAATATAAGTGTAATGGCAGTAGTAATTAAACATTAATTAAAAGTATTTTTTAGATGATAAAATTGCAAGTTTATAATTGTGGAACAAAAAACAAGGAATTTGAAAAATAAAACTAATTTCCTTAAAATAATTATTCAGAGTTTAATTGTATGAAAATGCGCTAAAAGCAATAAGACAGTAAATATCCCTACCTCGCCATTATTTGGATTAATTTATTAGATTTTACTCTTTTAGAGCGTGTACAAACATATTTTTTTGTCATCAAATAATGAAACGCACCTATCCATATGTAACTTCTCCCTTGCTGAATGTATTCGTACAAACCGCTATTGATTTCTACAGATATGAATCACTTGGATGCTTGGTTTCCACCCTTCAATTGAAATAATGTTTTTGTTGGAGTGGGCAAATTTAATTGCAGATATCGACTCGACGGAAATAATAGCAGATATATGTACATACGTATGTAGGTATGAATAACACAAGCATACTTTTATATGAGTGTATGTATGTAGCTAAGTAAACAAGGTGGTGATTTTCTAATAAGGGTCATAATATCTTTCAGATTTATTTTCGTTTTAGGCAAATGCGACGTATCTCCACCATATGCAATGTTTGTGTGGATGGTTATGAGATGCGCCTAGTGTGAGCGTTTGGTTGTCGACCTCGCTGTTTTGACTTGAAGCGCGCAATTCAAGTACTTCAAATATTAAGCACTTCATTTGTACAAAAGTACATACATACATATGTGTATGATATAAATATATATATCTGCATATGTATTTATAACCGTTTAGGTTTTTAATTAGTCTTGTTGGTGTGTTCCTGTGTTTTGCTGTTGTTATTCATACATTAATGTGACCGTCGCCTTTATTGATTGATTTACTCTGCTAAAAAATCAATAACTGAAAATTTTCAAAGACCTTCGCCTTAAAAAATTATATTTATATATTATAAAAATTATGTTAGTCTTTATAGCCTTATTGTTACTATAATTTTGTTTATTTTTCTACAAGTGGTATTCATATGCTAACAAAGGCGCCAAGCTAATATAGCATTTAAAACAATTAACACTTTTCAAAATATTAATTTTTTATATTTTTATGAATGATTACACTTTTTAAATTACTTTTCAAAATTTGCTAGTTTATTTAGTTTATTTCCTATTTCACTGCATATTTATATTTTGCGCAAAATCCGCACTTTCTGTTTTTCATATAATTTTTCCAACCAAGAAATGCTTTTATTATTTGTTGTCGCCACGGTTGTTCACTTCGTACTGTAATCCATGTAAAAATGCCTGAAAATCCTTGCCCCTTTTTACCAATCCTTTTGTCTGTATATGCGCACTACGGCGCGCTCCCTTCATATGAACGCCTGTAAGTGGTTATATGCAAAGAGAGTTGAAGAGAGTCAATTACACCACCAAACAGACTCGTGCGCCACCGCAATTGCAGCTTCAACTTGATTGTTGGCCATTTAGGCAATGTAAACAAACTGATTTGACTACGTGCGGTCGTATTTGAGCGGCGAGACGTATTAGAGGCAATGTGAAACAATGCTATGTATCGATTTGTTTTTGTTGTTATACAAATCGTCTGTTGCTTTTAACAGTTTTATTTTTGTAATGTAGCTATTTTTGAACACAAATATATTACGATTAAGTATGCAAGGGTGATTACAAGCCAAAAAAACAAGAAAAAACGATAACTTCAGTTGCACCGATAAAACCCTACACAAATAAAAGTGCTTATACCATACAAGAGTTTCATTTTATTCGATGAGTTTTATGGCAGCTATATGCTATAGTAGTCCTATCTGAACAATATATTCGTAGATTGTAGTGTTCCCTAGGACAATAATCTATGCCACATTTTGTGAAGTTATTTTGTTAAATAAAGAAGTTTTCCATACAAAAATTTGATTTTGATCAGTTTGTATGCCGACTATATGCTATAGTGTTCCGATATCGGCGAGTCCGACAAATGAGCAGCTTCTTGGTGAGAAAACAACGTTTGCAAAATTTTAGATTGGTATCTCAAGAACTGTGGGACTAAGTCGCGTATATACAGACGAACAGACAGACGTGCATGGCTAAGAAAGAAAAAATAAAGAAATATAAAATTATACTTAATGTTGTTGTTTTATTGTAACAATTACCCTGATCGGGGGAAAGCAATAAATTAACTGTCTTCGAAGTCACTTAATGGAAGGTCCAAGAAACGAGCTGTTTCGACGGGTTCGGCCCATAGTGAAAGGGGGGGTTGGGTGAGCAGGTTTAATTGAGCATGCAAAGATGTGATTAGTGTCGTGCGGGGACTCATTTCATGCGAGACACAAAATTTGTATGTCGGGGTCTAGTCTGTATAAGTAGAAGTTTAACCTGCTATAATACCTAGAGCGAAGTTGCTCTAAAGTTACTCTTGTTTCACGCGGCAACTCGAGCTTTTATTCTGCAATAGCTGGTGTTTGGACTCCAAGCACGCCATTCACCGGGAGGAAGTCGAAGAAGGTGTTAATAGCTGCGCTGTGAATGGCGTTCAGTACCTGTCGAAATTGGGACGCGTGCGAAACTTGGTCGGTTTATGGTGCTAATTCGTCGACGTGTTTGAGGAATGTTCTACTGATGAGCAGGTGACTGCAGGGATGATTTAGACGAAAACATCCGAGCAGAAACTGCTTGGAGAGACGTGTGCTATGATCATTTACAGGAGGCGTGCGGACCCCAAATGTTCGATAGAAGACATCAGCCTGTTATAGTCCGGAGTACCGTATTCTGGAAGGTTTGATCTGCGACCTGCGGCATCCAGGCGACCATATTGCGGAGGCGTAGTTAATGACCGGCTAGCCGGTTGTAGCGGCCTTGTATGTTGCCAACAACGTCTCTTTATGCTTATCCCAAATGCTGCCGGCTAGCGACTTCAGGATCTTGTTGTGGCTCTGTACTTTTGTGACAATAGCGGTTGTGTGCGGAGAGAAGGAGTAGACTGTCAAGTGTGACTGCTAAACTTTTAGGGTTAGTTATTGTCTGAATTTTGACATCATCGACGGAAATGTTGAGGTCCAGTTTTTACTCGTTCGCCCAGTGGGTAGATATGATGGCCGTGGATTGGGCAGGGGAGTTTTAAGCTCCTTGCAGTGAAGTATATTAAATATTTGGAGCTCGACATCGCCTAACCAGATAGCTATACCCTGACATTCTATGGTAGTAACCCTGTTGTTGGAATAGTTATAGGTAGTGATGTGGATGGTGTAACTATATTTTTATTTAAATCGACTTAAGCTGTTTGATATTTTAACCACCTTTTTTGGAATTTTTAACCATAATTTTGGATTTGTTTATTAGTTACTGTTATTGATTTTATGGTTGTAAATAGCCAAATAAATATTTGGAAAGTTGTTTACTTACATATGTAAACCTGAACCACTTTACAGCTTCTAACTACTATAAAGTTTTTAATTTCTTCTCCTCCACCTCTTCCGATTCATCAGCTGTCAATTTACGCTTTTCAGTTGTGGACTCGTTGCTGGCACTTTCAACAGCTGCATCGTTTTTACTTTCATTCCCATCTTCTGCCTGCTGCTTGTCTCTGACTTTACTCATTTCATCTTTTTCTATTTTCAATTGTTGCGCCGCCGAGGTATCCGTTTTTAGCAGCTCCCGCAGAAACATGGTGGCATATACCGATGGCGGCAAGTGAAAATCTAATAAGAGCGCTTTTAAGTCACCTGTGCCCTCAGCATTTTCTATATTATCAGCTTTGCCAGCGATACGATCCCAATCGGATGCTATCAGTGTCTCCTCAGGAGAGGAATACTTACGGAATTTCCATGTTAATTCGCGGGGACATATCAACAATTTGCGGTAGGCGCCAGCCATAGCAAAAGTTTTGACCTTATGACGTAATTTTTCCGATGACAAACCATATTCTGCGAGTATCTCTTCATACCATGCGCCAACTTCATTGCTGGGATATGTGATATCATGACCAGGTAAGGGTAGTACTACGTCGAAAAGCGTATAATTACCGCTTGCAATGTCGTCTTCACTTAAAGCTTTGACTTTGCGCTTAAAAATTGAATATTCATTCTTTGCTGCGGAGTTCGCGGGAGATTCAGCCTCGTCCTTTGTCTCATTTGCCTCAACATCATTGTCTTCAGTATTCTCATTGTCTTCTGCTACATCATCGACAGTGTTATTTAAATCACATTTTTCTATGATGTCCTCATCCATTTCTTCTTTATTGCGATATACTAAATCGCCGGGTATCAGCTTAAAGCCGTATTCTTTAATGCGTCGCGATGCAATGCGGTTGAACACAAAACTTTGAAACGAGTGCGGGTAAAGCAAGAGCATGTTGCGTGGTATCTAACATTTGCAAGTAATTATAAAAAAATGTAAAAGTTAATCTATCTAAATCTAATTTCATTTTTTGCCCTATACTTCATTTAAACTACTACAAAAGCCTCACCTTTCTTAACGCGGCTGCAAAATCATTCTCACCGTATTTCGCCAAGCCATCTAGCAATTTCTTTTCAATAAATTCATTTGGAATGAACATTGCTGCAGCAGCGGCTGAATTACGCTCTTTCCACCACTTCTTGCGCACTTCATCCATGAAGGGCAGATCATTTAAGCGCGGTTTTAGTATGAGCTCTGCGACCGTTTTATAATCCGCCTTCAAAAGTGCAACACCAATTTCATAAGTGGGTATATCGGCGTGATTACCAAAACGCTGCAAACCGAAATAATTTATAAAGCCTTTGTCACGTAAATTCTCCAGCGCTTTCTGAATTTCCTCCTCATCACCACTAATATGACGCAAAGCGATTCTGAATCGATTGCCTTTTAAATCACCTAACTTGAGTACATCGTTGCTGAATGTGAAATTGCCGATGCGTACGTATGACTTTTGAGCTGCCGTTAGAATATGTGAAGGGAGACGTCGTTTTATACAGAACTTCTGCGTAGTTTTGGCTCGTTTATCTTTCGTACCACAATAATTTACGTTAGATGGGTGCATACTGAAATATATTCGTAAATTATAAATATTAATACTAGAGAAAATTGTCTCGAAACATACCCAATACGTGAAGCTAGACGTGATGCTGCTTCGCTAGTTTCCATATTTTCTTTATACAACAAGAAATGTACATATTCTCCCGGAAAATTCCAACGCGTTCGTTTCTCACTACTGGAGTTATATTTGGGTTTCATTACACGTATAATTCGTTCCTCCGTAGAATCTTTTAACTCAGTCACTGTCGAACCAACCAACTTCTGCCCATATAATGTTTTAAGCATATCGTGTATTTGTCCACGCTCTGTTTTATCTAATGTCGTTACTATTATATCTATGGGCTGAGCTGCTGGATCTTTTGCGCCCAACGCGGCTAAAGCAGACATTTTATCCCACGTGTCATCTGTTATAATCTCACGGAATTTTTGACGTACAGCCGCTAACTCCTCCTCATCAAGTGCTGTAGGAATATTTTAATGTTTAGGAAAAGCACATACTTCTATATATGAAAAAAAAATTTAATTTACCATGTTCCACTGGCTTTGGTACTGTCAAATCGTTCAATTGTAAAACTTTTCCATCTAGATCAATTTCATTGACATGAAAATCAGAAAAACGCGATTTTACAACTCCAGTGAATCCAGCACCATTGCTCACATATTCAGTTATACCGACTTGGTCTTCTCGCAAGCTCATCTTATTAGACCCATCCTTTCTAATACCAATACGACAATATGTAAAGATAAATACAATATAAAAATACGAAAGCATGTGGGACTTACTTTGGTAACATTTTTCTCCATTCCTCTTCTGGACCCGGCCGATTTTTATTGCGTATCTGTCTTGGACGCCATTGGGTTTTCGCTTTCTTTCTTTGTGGCATAGCGAAAGAAATAAATATACTATTTAAAATATAAATTACCGGCTTTTATTAACTAAAATAAGCTGCTAATAACTAAAGACTGCCGCTGAACGATAGCTTGTATTCCAATTACCGATATATTTTGGGAAATCGATTAGCAAATGCAATCAAGTTTTTTTTAGTTGGAACAATTCATGAATATTTTTTTTATATGACAAGTATTATTCTTCCAAATTATTGTACTAATTTTTGTTTACATAACTATTATATACTATAAACATATATATATTTTTATTATTGTACTCCTTTTATAAAACATTCTACTATAAAAATATTTTGAAATAGCATTAGTTCGCACAGCTCGTGAACGAAAGAAAATCAACTGTCAGCTGTACAAATACTGTTTGAGCGTAGGTAACTCTGTATTGAAAACAACAATAAACAATCTAATTGCCGATTGTCAAAAAGTAGAAATTTAATTTTTGTTTCTTCCAATAAATAATACAAAGAAAATGGTTTATATACATTTCCCAACAACTTTAACCGAGGAAGAGCATATGCTGCAAGCCAAATATCAAAAGCTAAAGAAAAAGGTAACTAATTTTCACTGCAATGTTCCCGGTTATAACGCAATGTTTCGTGCGTCTATTTGCAGAAAAAAGCCCTACAAGCGCTAAAAGCACCAAAACCAGAACCAGAGAAACCACTGACATTAAAGCGTCCCACTGACGCCCGCGATGCTCGCGAAGTAGCACGTAAATTAATTAAAAGCGGCGCAATACCAGCTATCCAAAAGCAGCAAACCAAGCAAGATCAAACTTCATTTAAACGTCCAAAAGGACAAGAGCGTGCTAAGCGTGCGCCTGAAACCAGTGTAGCAGCCTATCAACCTTTCTCGTCTACACAAAATGATGTAGCGCAAGAGACCATCATTAGTGAAATCATAAAAGAAGAGCCGCGTATGCAAAACCTTTATCAACATTTCGCCACTGAACGCGATCGCAAAGAACGTGGTCTAAATGATAAAACGCCATTGGATTCAACACAACCAGAAAAGCCACGCACCGGCAATACAATCTTCGTGTCGGGAAATAAAGTAACCGAAGAGTTTTTGAAGAAGACTTTCAACGATTACGGCACAATTGTTAATGTGTCAATGGAAATCGAGAAAAGGTGAGTAACAATTACAACATATTTACTTTCCGTTAATTACATATTTTTTGTAGTCGTGGTTTCGTTTCGTTTGCTAAGCCAGAATCAGCTGACCGTGCTATAGCCGAAATGCATGGCAAAAGCGTTAACGGCATTAATTTGCAAGTGCAACTGGCGCGTCGTCAGCCACAAATTGAGCCTATAAACGACGCTTCATCTTCGGCCGTGTGGTCGTCTATAGGTAAGTAAACGTATATATTGGGAGCTTGTATCTTTTTGTGTTTTAAGTAAATAGTATAGTTGTTTACTTTGCCTTTTATTTATTTTTGCTAATTCCTTTCCCCGTTGCAGCGGCGAGTGATTCGCAAAAAGGCAACCACAAAGACGGCCGCGAGATGGTTCAGTATGACGAGGACTTTTTATTACAAACAAGTTTTGAATAAATAGTGTTCAAAAATTTTAATTTATAATAATATAATAACTAAGTAGTAAGACTTCACCAGCATTGGCTGCAATAACTTACCAGCGAATTCCCACTGTTATCAAGCAAATAATGAAGATTTTCTGCTTTAAGGTAGGAAAACGTCAACAATACGTACACAAGTAGTTTATTTGAACTTTATTTTATTGAAAAATTTTACACTTTCAGTATTTCTAAATATGCGTGTGTATGAATTTTGAATATATAATTATAATAAATAATAAATATTGTAGTTTAGTTAACAATAATGCATAAATTTTAAGCGATCAAATTAACACATAAACTATTTGATTGCTTACATTTAATCAAAAATTATAATGATAATAATAAAAACATCTCCGATTACTGCAAAGTTTAATAAATTAATGAAACTTATAAAAAAGAGTAATAGAAAACAATAACGATACTTGATACGGCAACGTACGTATTTATATACCATATGTAATATGCGTATATGCCATCAATAACAGGATTTTAAAATTTTAGGTCCATTATGAAAATTTCATTGCAAAAATATATGTATGTATGTATGTATGTCTGTATATCCTAAACATATTTACATATCTATATGCAAATACATATGCAACATACGTTGTTAATAAGCGTTTGTTAGTTTTGTAGAAATTGCTTATTGCATATTCGTCGCACTTCGTCGTTTATTTATTAATTTTTCGTACAAAATTATTGCAACAATTTAATTAAATTTTACTTCGTCGCTTAGTTGAACTGTTCGCCGAAACCAATACAAAGACTCAGCTGGCGCTCAGCTAGCTAATATCTTATAGCATACAGAGCATGCGCGCTCAGCGCGAAGCGTCGTTCCCTGATATTCGTATTTCATTTCTATGTATATAACTGTTTCAAAAGTACATAGGTATTTTCAGATTCGAATTTCCATATAAAACATAAAATGCAAACAACTTTCAAACACACACGCTCGACAACGGCTTGTGGTTGTGGGCAAAACGCATACGACGATTGGAAAAAGAGGAACTAAAAAAGACTATATATCTTCACCATGATCCACCGGTACTCCTATGACTGGCGCGCACCATTCCCTGGTGGATTGAAGAAGTCCCAATGATGTGTGTGCACACTGCGGCCCGCAAGCATATACACAATCAGCGTGAATGATATGACCACGAAGAGCGCCAGCAATGTCGGTATATGATGTACTTGACCTTCGACATTCTTGTCCGCCTCGGCGCCACGAATTGCGGCAGTCACACGGTTCAGCAATTGCACCAACGATAGGCTGCAGGCCGACATGAATTGCTTGCCCGCCTTTACTACGGTCTGTGGTTCGTTTGGTGGGCGTGTGCTGCTGCGCGAACGTCTGCTGTGCGAGCGCGAACGCGTCTCCTCACGTTCGCCCAAATCATCGTAATCCTCACACTCCGAACATGATGAATCGCATCTGCGGTGGTGGCGATGATGATGATGGTGGTGATGATGTTGTTGTCTTCTTTGTTGTGCGTTGGCTTCGTTGCCGTCGGCGCTGCCGCTGTATGGCGGTTCGTCGGCGCGTCGGAGATTATAGAAACCCAACGGTGGCAATGATTGCAGATATTCGGTTGTGGCGTAAACGGGCGGTGGGACAGTCATATGTGTTGGATATGCCAACGGATCGGTTTGTGTTTCTTCATCGTAATTTCTTAGCTGTTGCAGCGCTATCTCGTCGCTCGTATCGACTGCTGTACGCTTGCTGGCTTCCAAGTCGCGTTGACGTGGCGGTTTTGGTGGCGGCACCACTTCACGCGCCGGCGATCGTTCCTCGCTGCTCGCTTGTAAGCTAGTTTGTGTCTCGACAGTCAACAGCTGACTGCGATCGGTGGTGCGCACACGCTCCACAATGTCCTCAATGAAACCGTCGGGCAAAGCTATATTTTTGACAATCAAATTGCCCGATTTACACTCCAGCTCTTCGGCGGATATTTGCGCACCATGCAGCTGTGAGACCATTATTTGTCCGGCTTGTAGCGCATGCACGCGTAAGCGTTCAACTTCAAGTTCGCCTAAATGTGCAGGGAGCTGAGGTTGAGCTTGCGCTAGTGGCGCTGCTGCTAACGTTGGCACAGGTCTTAATTCCTTCCAAGTCTCTTCCACTAGAGTTAGCGTGGGCGGTAGCTCTAATGCTGTGGTTGATTTTCGTCGCGGCGGTGGTAGTGGTGGCTCTTCAAATGCCGTTGCTTCCTCAACACTTTCAGTTACCACTGCAGCCGCGTCGGCGGTGTCGCGTGTTTCCACTAGACTTTCAGCCTTTTCTTCATAAGTGAAATGTTTATCTTGTACAAGAAGGGTCGGTGTCACTTCTTCAGCTGTTGTAGGCGCTACGTTGTCTTCCTCTTCCGTTGGCGCTTCATCGATTTCGCTTATTTTCTGTGCATCCTCCTCTTCCGTTGGCGCTTCTTCGATTTCACTCATTTTCTGCTCGTCTTCATCAGCAATTGTAGACGCTTCGTACCGCTCACTGTCTGTATGGATTTCTTGCAGTAGTTCTTCTTTCGTTTCCGCTACATCTAACTCGAGTTCTTCCTCATCTTCCTTTCCAGACGTTTCCTCTCCGATATAGCGCTCGTAACTACTTCTCGCCAGTGTACCTTCATCTGAGTGTTTTTCATATTCACTAGCATATTCTCTTAACTCAGCCTCATCCTTTTCCTCTTCATAATTGCTGTCAGCTTGTGCGCGTAGTTCATCCAGCGCGGCATTCAGTTCCTCAGAGCTCGGTCCGACTGAATAGTCGCTAATTGCATGCTTTGACTCTTCCTCTTCGTCATGTGATGTGCTGGCCTCTACATCGGATTTACTCTGCTGTTCGCTATCCGTAAGCAGACCCTCTCTACGTAAGGCTTCCTCCTCAAGGTCCAAATCGTCAATTGGACGCACAACCAATGATGCCTCCAACATGGTCTCGGCCTGTTGACTGGGTATAGGTGTGGAAATGCGTCGCTCGATCACCACAGCGGAGGGTGTTGGTGGACGACTTTGTGACTTGGAGCGATCGGCTTGCGAGGAAGCACGCGAACGCTCTGACATGCTGCGTTGATTCGCATCGCGGAAACGTTGCAAACCGCGCGTCAATTGCTCTTCTTCTGTAAGTGGTGCCGCAGCCGCCTCTTCGACAGCTTTAATCTTTAACTCTTCCTCACGCAGCAGCTCATCCAATGTCTTGCGCATGCTATTTATACGCGGCTCAATGATGCGCATATCTTCGGTGATTTCGAACTCTTCACATTCAAAGTCGTCCGGTAGCGGATCGGTTTGCGTGGACACCTCCACTTCGGGTAAGCGCGTTTCTTCTTCTTCCAAATCCACATCGGTCGGATCGTAGCTATCCGCAGTGGACGAGGTCGCAATTTTATCATCGACGAACTCGCGTTCGTGTAACGACACGAAAGCGCTATGCGCTGAGCTTTTATTTTCGGAGCGTTGACGCTTCTCACGCGGTGGACGTGGTGGTGGTGGCAATGGGCGGAATTTCATTTTATTTATAATTGCACCGGACTGCAAGTCGCGTGGTGATTCGGCACGCTCCTGCTGCAAAGCTTCGGGC